AGATATTCATTTGTGATACATGGACATGGGTCCAAGGGGGTGAGTAGAGGCTGACATTCAATCTATGTTGAGTTTGCCAGACCATAAACCCTGACATAGGATCACACCTGTTCAGAAAAAGAGGAACCTTTTTCCTTATACCAAAGTGCCTCTGGCCCACCTAGGTGCTGCTTTAGGTCAGAGGGGCTGCCTCTCTCATTCTCACAAAGGCACTGAGGAAGCTAGAAGCTCTACCAACACCACAGAAGAAACTCAGGAATAGAACATAAAGTGAAAAAGCAAGTCTCAGAAACACTCATGATTCCATTTCTAGAATGTTCCATATTAGAGAAAATAAAATTAATGTTTAGAGATTAAAAACATATGAAGGTTAAACCATAAAGAAAAGTATGACAATGACGCACAAAAATCAGGATACTGGTTACTCCTAATCAGTGAGAAAATAAGATTGAGGAAGCACATAAGTAAGAATTTCATTATGTCTGAGGTGACAGACTAGCTAGATTCACATTGTATCCATTTATTGAAATGTCACACTGTACCCATACATATGTACAGTTACTATGTGTCAAATAAAAATAAAAATGTATTTTTAAAAAAGAACTTCAAAGGTAGTAAGTGGTAAGGCTCTATTTCTTAAACTAGGTGGTATATATCAGCTCAGCCATGTCCAGGTGGGGGTCTTTTTTTCAGTATTATAATAAAACAAAGTTTTGTTACTTATATACATTAATTATATTATATATTTTACATGCAGCCCAAGACAATTTCTCTTTACTCAATGCAAGGTGAAAAGTTACTTATATTCTACATACATCTTATAAATATCTTAAATATGTACTCAATATTGAATAAAAACAACTGGAAGGGAGATTCCCTGATACCATAAACTGAGAAAAAAAATTTTTAACTTGAGAGGAGGAAGAGAATTCATGTCTATAAATATAACATAATGAGCTTTGATAAAGACATGTACACTTTAGTAGCTTCAAAAAAAAGTATCAAATAGGTTAAAGCATATCAAAATATTTTATAAAGTAATATTTGTAGTATAAAGTTATTATTCATACTATGTGTTATATAGCACTTAGCAAAACCTGGGGAAAACCTTCAATTTGTTACTCCATGGACTGGTAAAATGATACCATTATAATTCTTTTTTACTCTTTAGAATAATACTTAGCAGGAAGTAGAGAAAAACATTGGATTAAGGAAACTACTCCCTTTTCAAAAATCTATGCAGTTAAATTCATCTGGATTTTTAAAATTATCTTTTAATATGGTAACCACAGAACAGTAAGTACTGTATGATCTTATTTATATTTGTCTAATAATAGTATATTTGTATGTATCTATATATAAATCCATTCAAATCTATTTTTTAAAAAGTCTGAGATAAGGAATAAGACAGGACTGGTAAGAAATGGATTTTTAGCCGAGGATTTAGCTCAGTGGTTTCGCCGCCTGCTGCACAAGCGCAAGGACCCAAGTTCGATCCTCAGTACCACAAAAAAAAAAAAAAAAGAAAGAAAGAAATGGATTTTTAAAACAGGAAAATTTTTAAAGTTTTATTCCAATGATCCCAAATAGTCCATATTTCATTTTGAGTAAGCTATGCTTTTCCCACATCCTTCTTATTTAATTTTATTTGGTTAATTTTTTAAGCCAGACTATTTAACATTTAGGAAGTTTCCTCTCTTTTAACTGAGAAAGTAGCCATTTTTAACCCATCACATTAAAAACATAAAAATAATAACTATGAGAAGACTGATATAAATAAGCTTCTATTATATATTAATCTCATAATGATCACATGGCAACTAATAAATCCTACACAAAGCTTTTAATAATATACTACAGGTTCAGATATATTCAGTTATATTAAGGTTTATAAAAACAAAACAGTAATCTCAAAGTTTTCTAACCAACAAGACTATCAAAATATTAAAATCAAAATAACACTTCAAAATCAAATTAAAATTCTTCATTATCAAATGATAATTTCAAGTCTGCACCTTTGAACAAAAGATCAATTAAGAGTAAGATCACACAGCTAAGGAAACAATGAACAGATTGAAGAGATGACCTTCAGAATAAAGAAAAGATCTGCAAAATGTACATCTGACAAGGGGTCAAAACACCTCATAGCAAAAAAAAAATGTTTTTAAAATGGGCAATAAACCTAATGAGAGACTTCTCAAAAGAAAACACACAAATGGCCTACAATATACCCCCCCCAAAATGTTCAACTTTACTAATCATCAGGGAAATGTAAACCAAACCACAATGAGATATACCTTACTCCAGTTAGAATGGCTATTATCAAAAGACAAAAGATAACAAGCGCTGAGGATGTGGGGAAAAGGGACCACTTACATACTGTTGGTGGGAACGTAAATTAATACAGCCATTATGGAAAACTGTATAAAGGTTCCTCAAAAAATATAAAATAAAACTACTATTTGATCCAATAATCCCAGTACTAAGTATATACACAAAGCAAATAAAATCAGTCTGTCAAAAGCATCTGCAATCCCATGGTTTTTTTGTTTGTTTGGTTGGTTGGTTTTCTTGAGACTGGGTCTCACTATATAGTTCAGGCTGGCCTTGGACTTGGAGCAATTCTCCTGCCTCAGTCTCCGGAGTGCTAGAATTACAGGTGTGCACCATAACACCCAGTGCCCCCATGTTTATTGCAGCACTATTTACAATAGCCAAGAATTGAAAATAACCTGAATGTCCATCAATGAATGAAAAGATAAAACAAGCTAGGTATGGTGGTGCAAGCCTGCAATCCCAGCATTCTAGGAGGTTCAGGTGGAAGGATGGGAAGTTTAAGCACAGCCTAAGCAATTTAGTGAGACCCATTTCAAAAAAAAATATTTAAAGGGCTGAGGATGGAGTTCAGTGCAAAAGTGCTGGGTTCAATCCCCAGGACTGGAAAGAAAAAGGAGGGAAAGGGAAGAGATGGAGGAGGGAAAGAAGGGTGAGAGGGAGGGAAGGAGGAAGGGAGGATGGATAAAATGTGGTGCATATGCACAATAAAATACCACTCAGGCATAAAAAGGATGAAATCCTGTCATTTGTGATAACATGGCATAGAACTCTCACTTGAGGGTCACTATGTTAAGTGAAATAATTCGGGCAAAGAAAAACAAATGTTGCTTGATCTCATTCACATACGGAATTCAAAGAAATTGATCTCATAGAAATCAAGAGTAGTATAGTGGTTACCAGAGGCTGGGAGAGTTAGGGGGAAGTAGGGAGGGCAAAAGGTTAAGAGGAATTAAATTTATAGGCAGATAGGAAAAATAAGTTCTGGTGTCCTCTTGCACAGTAGAGTAAAACTCATGTGCTGTTTATTTCAAAAAAGCTAGAAGGATTTGAATGTTTTTACCACAAAGAAATGATGTTTGAGAAAATCATTTGTTTATCCTAATTTGAAGATTATCTCAATGTATACATGTTTCAAACATCACATGGTACCCCATATATATGTATAACTTTTATGTATGAATTTAAATTTTTTAAGTTTAAAAACTACACCAAGATCATATTTACCATACCAATTTTCAAATCCAACTGCCAAGCCACTCAAAGAAAGAATTGTTCAGTTTATTAATTCTATCCTGTAAAAGGCCACACCAACACCAAGTTTACTATCCAAGTGTCTAAACCATATCATAAATCTTATACCTAAATCTTACTTAGCCAATTCAATATAAAAATAAAAAGAGCTAATAATTACTTGTTTCTCTGCCTATATTCAAAAATGGTTTGGGATATAAAAATCTTTTATTTTATTTTATTTATTTTTATTTATTTTGGGGGGGTACCAGGGATCAAACTCAGGTCTTTATGCTTGCAAGGCAGGCAGTGGAACCACTGAGCTAAATCCCTGTCCCAAAGGATATAATATATCTTTACAACAGGATCAAGTTTTTTCTGAAAAAATAGGAAGTGATTTAAATTACCAAACTTAACTTTTTTACTTGATTACACAGTAATTTTTAAAAATTTGGAAATTATACAAAATGACATTTATAATCCTACCATTCTAAAATACCCTGAGCCTGCTATTATTTGATACATTAAGTTTGCAGAATTACATTAATAGATCTCCTTCTCTTCTAACAGACGTTATCCTATGATTTTTAAGTATATTATGTGGTGAGCTACATTTACAGATTATCTAATATTAAGCCCTCTCTGTATATATGGCCTAAACCAAACCTGGGTGTAATATTTGATGTATCTTATTTATGGTTAGATTTGTTTGCTACTATACTTTTTAAGTTTTTACTTCTATATTCATGACTGAAATAGACGTACATATAATTTTTCTTTCTCCTACTGTTTCTGTTTCATGTAAGCATCAGACTTCTACAGGTATTGTAGAATGAGTTGAAAAGTATTTCTTCACTTTCTATTAAGGCTGTATAAAATTTAGACAATCTGTTCCTTGAAATTGTGGTAACAGTTATCTGTAAAACCATCTGGGACTAATCTTTACACTGTGGAATGGTTTTTTCTTTTTCTTTTTCCTATTCCTTTTTACCACTTTTTCAATTTCTTTAATAGTTATAGGACTGTTAAGCTAATTATTTCTTAAATTAGTTCTTAAACTTATAACGCCAGGGATTTAGCTCAGTGGTTCCACTGCCTGCCTCTCAAGCGCAAGATTCCGAGTTCAATCCCCGGTATCAAAAAAATAAAACAAAAACAAAAAACAAAAGTTAAACTTATAAGAATTGATCTATCTCTACTCACAGAAATTGAGCCAAATATTCTCAACCCTTAGAGCTGTAACATCTTAATATCTCTTACCTAAATTTAGAACCATCAATGTATCCTTTTGTTTGGCTTTAATTTTTAAGAAGAGATTGAATAACATGTATCAGGTCTAAAAATAACTGCAAATATTTTGCATGGCCACAAAACCATGACTGCTGCTTTTGACAAACACATATAGGTCTGCATATATTTTAGCTACTACTCACCACCAGAAACGGGGGCATCCATGAAAACTGCTCCCATTTTCTCAACTTCTTCGGCCAATTCTTTTGAAACTGCAGGATCAATGGTACTAGAATCTATTAATAATGAGCCTTTCTTCACTTTTCTAAGTAGACAAATACAAATATTTATAGTTTACAATTATGAATAAACAATTTGTGCAATTACCTATACAATCAGAATCAGTTAACAGCTACCAGATTCCAGGAGGTCTTTGGTTTAGTACTACAAATGTTATTAGCTAGAACTGGTCCAAAAATCTCATATTCATTTTCATAGCAATTATAGTTCAAAGTAACCCAAATTTTTCCAAATAACAAACAAACAAACAAAAAACCCCTAAAACTACATAGTACAAATTCTAGTTTTGGGTACAATATACACTAATAAAATAATATAGGTGAAGCTAAAATGTAAGCAATTTGAAATATCTATTAACTTCAAAAAGGTATTTGATAAGATTTAAATTTTTTTGTAAAGTCACTGGATCTTTTAAAAAGTAATTTGTCTTTAACAAGCTATACTGCAAATTTCACATATCCATGCGATTATCACTAGACAGAATAAACATAAGCAACTGAAATCTAGCCATCTACTTCAGGATGACATATTCTTTTTATAATTGATATTTTTAAAAGCTAAAATAAAATATCAAGCAAGTATCAAACAGGATACAAGAACAAATCAGAAATTTTACAAAGTGTTTTGTTCTTGTTCCTTGAGGTAAATTAAAGTACTAACCCAAAGTTAGTAGAATCATGAATAGAAAATCAGAACTCAGTAAATAGAAAAATTGAAAGAGAAAAAGAAAATAAGTCATTGACAAAACTACTAAAAAATGGCCGGGGATTTAGCTCAGTGGTTCTGGCACCTGCCGTGCAAGTGCAAGGTCCCGAGTTCGATCCCCAGTACAAAAAAAACTACTAAAAAATAAAATCTTTCTATAGGAAAAAAATAGAAATAGCACACAAAATGATTTAAACAATTTTAGACATACAAATTGTAATAGTTCAAATTAAATGCTTGGATATATTCATAGAAGAGATATAGCAAGCTCTATTAGAGATTACATAAGTGTTTGTTTCACTCTATACATACCCTAAAAATGAAAGATTAAGTTCATCAGTCTTCCATATCTTAATATTTTTAAGATCTTAAATCTTTAAACAAATGGAAAATCATATCAAAAATTACACATGCACTGGATAGAGGGAAATAATCCTGACACAGAACAGAATAAAGAACCATCGATGAGAAGCAAATTATAGTTCAATGTAAAGCCAAATGTTTTCAAAGTACTCCTGGAGAAAATTGGCCTGGTAGCAGGCCATCACCCTCCAAAGTAAAGGATATGAATAAATATAGGACTGTGTCTTCACACAAGTTTTTAGTAACTTTTCCCTGAGAGGTAAAACAAGGCCATAACTGAAACAGGTTAGGTAATGAGTCTGCTAAGATGCCTCTGGACCACACACACTGCGGGCCTGGAGGTTCCATCCAAAATGAGTATCTTTCAACCATCCCTGAAATCCAAACATTTATCTTATCAGTTTTCTGCCTAATATCCAAGTGTCTTTTGCTTCCAAGTTTGTTAGTTTTCCAAAGCAATTCAATTTCCAAAAACCTCAATTTCATGTATTATAGTTTCCTAAAGTTAAACTCTTTCTTTTATCCCTTTATATGTCTGCAGAGCTAACAGCCTGTACTATCTCTCTGCTGAAATTCAATAACAAAATAAGTTAGGAATAAGAACCAGTAAGACCAGAAAACTAAATTGAGAATTCAACCACTGTCATCCTAACCTAACCACCACAAGGTTTTGGGAATAGGCAACAATTAACCAACAGGTTTGCACAGCCAGGGAAGATAGGCACTGGCTGGGAAATTCTGAAGTAAACTATATTTTATTTAAAAAGCTACTGCTAACCTTTAATTCCAACTTCTCAAAGTTCTTACTACAGATGTACCAACTCAGAGAACATACAGTAACTTTTTATTACATAATAAACCATTAAATAACTGTTCTTTCCAATGTTTGGTTTTATTTTTCATAAAAACTTTTCTCTGAATTTTAAAAAAACTATGCTTTCCTAGTTTAAAACTATCCTTTTACAGTTTAAAATGCAGGTTTTAAAAGTCTCTTAAACATGTTACCAATGAAAGGGTAAGTTTAATGCAAGAGTTACAAAAAAAGAAACAAGAAAAAAGAAAGAAACCAAACCAAAAACACCTACTCCCAAAAATCACATACTTGACTTCAGTGAAAAAATACAGTAAACCCTTTACAATAAGAAACCACACTACTCACATTATGAAATAAAACAGTACAGAAAGGTATAACAAACATAATTGTAATCTACTACTTCTAATAAATGTGAAATTCATGAATCATCATAACAAAACAATCCATACTTGAGAAATACATACTTTAGAATTCCGTTTGCCCCAGAGTAAGCTTCTACTGCATTGATACTGGTGGGCAGCATTGTAATAATTCTGTCAGCCTTTTCAGCTACATCTGCTGGGGAAGACACTACCTTTAAGAAAAATGCAAAGACATATTGCTTAAACTAAAATGTAAGGCGTTACTAGAATACAAGTAGGATCCACTTTTTGTGTGTGCCTGCAACAGTTATAGCACAAAACCAACCATTGTTTGTAAATGACCAAAAAGAAAGAAGAAAGCTTATTGCCTAAAATAAGAGTCCACTTTGTATACACACAGATAGTTTCTGAGGAAGCAAATCTACTGTTTATTTTTTAAAGTGTCAAGGGAGTTGATGGGAAAAAGGCAAAACCCAACATTCCTGGGAACAGACACACTTCTTATGGGACACACTTTTCATGAGACACAATCTCATGAACTTGGATTTTTAAGCAGTATACGTTTTTTGGTATCAGCTTTGACTAAGAAAAACAGTACAACAGAGCTGGTAGCCCAACTACAGGATTCACTAGTGATCTAGTGGGCAACAAACCCCCTCAGCAAAATTACAATCTCCAACCACCATCAACCTTTAGTCTCTTTTCAGACCCAAAACCAAAACAAACAAACAAAAAATCACCATTTCAGAAAAGAAAAGATGAGAACAAGGATGCACCCCTTCTATAGGAAGGCTAGCAGTATGAGTTAACAGAACTCACGGGGAAACTACATATTGAGAGAGACATATGAACAGACATCAAGGCATCTTCTTGATCCTCATTTCTACTTTAAAATAACCATCAACATACTGTAAAGGAAAGCTGCTCTCCATTCTCTGTATGTAGGCACCCACACACTGTGACTGTTCATCAAGATATGCCAACTTGAATGGCTTAAGAAACACCTAGCTAGCAGGGGCTGGAGATTTAGCTCAGTGGTTCCACCGCCTGCCCTGCAAGCGCAAGGACCCGAGTTTGATCCCTAGTACCAAAAAAAAAAAAAGAAAAAAGAAAAGAAAAGAAACACCTAGAAGATTAGTGAAGCACAGTTCTGGGTGTGTCTGTGGATGATCAGCATGTAGCGGGCAAACTGAGGCAGGCAGACCCACCTGGATGTGAGTGGCATCAACCTGTAGCCTGGATGGACTAAAAGAGAAAGAAGGAAGTGTTCTCAATTTGGAAGAGCTCCAGTGTTTATCAATGACTTTGGATTTGGGTCTCCAGTTTCTTCAACCTTCCAACTTGGATTTGCACTAGCAACTCCACAGTGAGCTTCCAGGCCTGCAACCTTAAAATGGTGCTGTATCCTTGATCTCTTGCTCTGCTGCTTCCATCTTCTTGGGCTGAGCTGCTAATGGACCTCAAGCTCTTCAGTACACAGACCATTGAGAATTCTTTCACCTCTGATCCTACAGATGGCCACTGTGGATTCCCCTGACCCTGATCTTGTAAGTCTACCTAGTATACTCCCTCACATAATCACACATATATTTTCCATTGATTCTACACCACTATAGAGAACCCTCGCTAACACACATACAGTCCACATACTCTCACTCACACTCTTCCCTTTTCCTCAGCAATCTTGCTTTCTCTCATATACACCTGGCCAGCCAGTTGCCAACAAAGAGGTCAGAAGATATCAGGAGCTCACTCTTTGATTCAAACTCTCCCTTAATAGAAGGAATCCACCACCCTGTCACAAATTTTCTCTAATATCTTTCTCTCTCAATAAAAACAAACAAACAAAAAAGCAAAAGACTACCAGGAAGGTAAATGAAGACCTGTCTCCAGAATAACACACACACATATATATGTATATATTATCACACACACACACATATATATATAAAGTGCCATAATTTTACATATGTTATGTATGTAGAAACTGGCATATTTTCTACTAGGAAATGTGAAGAGATAAGTAAGCATTTTAAGCATGGGAATGTCTCCGCTTTTCATATTTACCTAACATTTTCTTTTTATCTTTTATACGTAATCTACGGGAAAGTGAAAGAATGGAAAGCCAAACATGGTGTGTAACCTAAATATTATGAGCTAAAAGTAATTACATTTCAATTTTCTATAAGAGACTATCAGCTTCTAAATCAAATTCTGGATAAAGCAATTTCATAAATCACTCTTTAAATTTTCAAACAATCAAGTATCCTAGCACTTTTATATTAACAAGGTAGGAAATAATATCATAAAACGCCTGAGATTCTAAAACTAAACAAAATATACTTTTCCTCTTTCAATGTTTCAATCTATCAACAATGCAACATTTTAGAATCTACAATGAGGTAAGTTCAACATGTATGTGATACATAATGGGGATTTGCCATAAATAATTCTGAAAATTTAAAAACTTCTCATCAAAGTACAAAAAAATACTTAAGTTACATGAAAACTTTTCCTATACTCAAGTAAATACTGAGCTTCAGAAAGAGGTTACTATTTCCTTACAGAGTTCATTTTACTCAAGCAAACCATGGCTCAGTAAAATGAGGCAATAAGAAAAATTGCTTGAGTCCTAATTCTCTACTGTTGGACTATTTCAAGAATATTGGGTAGTTAGAGATTTCCATTTGTTCATTCCCACTTTAATGAAGTAAATACAATGCAAAACAATGGCATACCTTTCAGTGATCTTTCTTTCTACTGCAGTTCCATTTTTAGATCCTTCAGGGATATTAGTAAGTCCTAAGGTCTAAGTAAATTTCAGGCTTCCTCTTAGCAACTAAGAGTTCTCTTCCACTGAAAAAAAATTCAATTCCACCTAGATAATTCCCTGAGAGGTCCCCTAAAGGGCACTAACAATTAGGTCACAGATCTAAGGGTGCTTTCACATCTCCAAGTTTCTCATGCTCACGAACTGGCAGTGCCAATTCATCCAACTGCCAAGTGCATGGGGTGGCCAATCAGCCCCCTACATCCTTAACATCTGCTTCTTGGGAAGCCTGGGTTGCCAGAGTACTGCTAACCCCTCAATTATACAAGAGCCTAGTCTCAAAGCTCAGAGGCCCGGAAAAAATACACAATGATAGTGATAGCTGGAATGTCACCACTATACTGGCCACAACTGTTCTATATCTAATGACTATAAACATTTGGTATATAATAATAAGTCTCTAATTTACACTACAAAGGCATATTTATTGGACAGACAAACATTCAGATAAACTTGCCATGACTTCAAGACTCTGAAATAACTGACAAAACTTGGCCACAACTCAAAAGCTGAGAGCCAAACGCCAACCTCATCGCCAATCTGACACTAACCACAAAATCCTTTAGAAGCCAAACTAATTAGATGCCCTTCAATTACATCTGCTAATTGAGTGGATTACCAAAGACAGCATGGATCAGACAAAGGAACACTAATTTGGGGAAGCCAAGACCCAGGTTTAGTTACAGCTTAGGCAAGAAGTCATGTGACTTTGTGCAAATCACTTAATCTCTCTGGTTTTAGTCTTCCAATGTATAAAAATAGGGATTTGAGTTATTTTGAGGTTTCTACCTCCAAAGTAGAAAGGAAACTTAAAAGATACTTTTATATTTAGTAACCTTAAATTCTAGGAAGATATAGTCCCTGTGTAAAAAGCCTGATGGGACTAGAAGCACCTGTAGTGACTCAGTACAAATAGACAACATTAGCAGAACACATGCTGTGCAGGTCTTCCAACACTTTCACGTCTGCGGACAGTCACTGGCCTGATGGACTCTGAACCTTAGCTCTACTCTGATTGCCGAGAGTGTCCAGAAAGATCCAAGAATTCCAACTGCCTCATTCTTATACTGTTGTGAATTAAGAGGACACTACTTTTGTTATTTCTTAAGTTTGACTATGGGAGATTAGTTGTCATGTATATCTCAATATCTATAGTCGTTATGAATCCTTATAGCCAATTTCTCTGGATTTAACTTTGGTTCACCTGTATAATGACATATATCAATGGCAAGAATAGAGGACAGGACAGATTAAAGGCAAAATCTACTTTGCTGAAGGAGGAGAGGAGAGCCAAAAGTAATCTGAAGGATATGTATCTCCTTTCTACATATCCACTGGAATGAGGCAACTGCTGCCTTGTCACTTTATATAGAGATAAAAGTACTGCCGTCTCCTTCCAGACAAGGAGACATAAGTCAAGTTCAGCACTCTTTCCAAGTAAACTTGATGGGTAACAAAAACCTCAAAAAACAACATGAACAAGACTTTGTTAAACTCACCACTCCTGTGTTTTCTAATCTTTCAAAGTAGAAAAGCACACTTACCTCAAAACTACACTACACTGGAAAAAAAAAATTTTAAATACTTAAAAAAAAAATGTTTGTGCCTATATCTTGAAACATGTGGACAATAATGTTGGAGCGCACTCAGCAAGATGCTTTTAAAGCCCTCATTTAATAAGCCTTGAGTGGATGCCAGATTAGATCCCAAGAGATTTATTTCATTTCCAAACATGTTCCGCCTTAGAACCCAGGAACAACAAAATGGTTTCCAAGTTTTTAAAGAAAAAAGGACCTAATTAAGCCTACTTCAACCAGAAAACTCACATAGAAATAATGAATATACCCCAGACTTTTGGCACGAACCATTGCCATCTCAATAAAAAAATCTAGACAATGAAAATGAAGCACAAGTTACATGGCCCTGATGCTAAGCCTTAAATTACAAAGAGAGACAAGTACCTTCCATAAATAAAAGTAGGATGGAAGGAACAGGGCTGAAAAGATCCTAAAGCAGGAATGCTGTCAAAGCATCTCATCTCCTGGTTTTGTTTTATCATTCTATCATTTAAAATATGTCTACAATTATCTTCCAAAGTGCTTTGGACTCAGCAACTCCGCCAAGACATTGGTGTGTGTATGTGTGGTATTGAGGAAAACAGAGCATGAAGAAATACAGGATAGATACAGCCATCAAATTCATAGCAACAGTACTAGCAGCTCTAGTAATAGCACTTTCTGTCAGGTTCTCTGGGACTCAGAGAAAGGAAGGTACTATTATTATCTCTATTTAATAAGGTGAGGAAATTGAAACAGTCACAATGTTAAGTAATCTGTTTAAAGTCACAGAGCTAGCTCATGATAGAGCTGAATTTCTGACCCA